GATTAGAGGATGAAGGCCCAGAAGCTGCTTTACATACTAGCAATGTTTTTAGAACTTTCAGCTCAAGTTTGACAGAAAAGGTTTTCCGTAAGAGCAACAGAGAAAAGGAAGGGATCATCTGACAGAAAAACAGCTTTTCTTTTGTCGAGCTTTTATGCTTCCCTCTGCTGCAAAGACACCCTGGGTTAAGAGCCATATCTATTTAAAAAAAAAAAAAAAAAGAATCCCTGATAAGTTGAATGTCATAACACACAAGACTACTAGTAAATATTTTTATTTTCTTACTTTTGTCCCTTAAGATAAAATGGACATTTCTATATTGTTTCTTTCAGCTAGAGATTAAGAAACAGCTGTACATGCCAGCAGTGCTATGAAGGACCAACTTGTTTATTTTATTTTTGAGCGGCAATTAATTGTATGCTTATTTGTTTTTGGACCATTTATCCATTTCTGTATTTATTTTTTAATTGTGGTAGCATTGGTCCTCCATACAGTGCTAGTTGCTAACACTTTTCTGTGCAGATAATAAAATCACAGCAGCAATCAGTCCTACTTCAAAAGGTTAATTAGACCTTCCTTGTACTGTAGGAATTACATGTTTTTTTGACATCTGTAATAAAATTTTATGACATTTTAGTTTTTTTTTTGTTTTACTTGTAGAGATTTATCAGAACTAAATGAAAATAAAATAATAAAGGCATATTTTTCCAGTTATTTTATTCAAAAAACCCCTAAAATCTCATGATATGAAACAATGATTTTACACAGTAAGTCAAATTTGTTTTGAGGAACAAATTTTTTACCTGATAAATAAATCATTTGAAAAAGTATAGTTTAAAGAGTTTGTTTCATGAAAACATTTTACTTAAGTCTAAAAAAAGCTAAAATTAGGTTATTTTACTGTTTGTTCACCTAGAGTTATAATTATAGTTTTTATACAATGTGAATGTTAAAGAACATAGTAACGCACTTTTTATTGCATCAAATATTATAAAACTAAAAGACTTAAAGACATAACATTTAAAAATGTTATGTTTAGAGGTAGTGAGAGACTATTGCTAATTAAGTTTTTAAATCTTAAATTTAAGTGATAGAAACAACAGGATGAAGTATGATTTCAGAGAATATATATATAATATATTTTTTGGCACTTGTCTTCTATATTTGAGGTGTAAGGCTCTGAAAATTAATTTTGAAATAATTGAAAAGGGGAATTTTTACAATCATTTTTATTCCTTCTGCTTGATTTTCACTCTTGTTCATTAAAAAACCTGATTCATTTGCTAATTAATGTCAAAATTGTGAAATCAAGTGAATAAACTAAATTGAAGCAAATATGATCAATTTTATGCTTTAGTCGGAATGTTTTGTTCGAAAAAAGAAAAACAGCTTAAAAACTTTACATTTCATCATTCCTGCTTAGGAACCACAAAGCAACACATTTAAACACCAAAGGAGGCGGTTTTAGTGATACAATTAAAGAAAAGTCTTTTTTATTGTCACTGTAAAACATCTGTCTCAAAGTGACACTTGAATAAGTTTATAAACACCTGAAAATGTCATATACAGATGAGATTGTAAGATATTTACCATGAGAACATCCCCTGTTCATGTTTCTACCCAAGATCACACACATTTAAACCTTTGAGACACGTCACGGGTTATCCTGCCTGACAAAAATCACTCTTAAAGAAGAGGAAAGTGTGGAAAATTGTTTCTTTTTTTCCAGTTTCCATCTGTTGATGACATCCAAGCGGCCATCTTGGACCATCTGATTATACTGAGAACCTTGAAAATAAAGATCTGGGGTTTAGGAGGAGAAAGATTAAGGTTTAACCTTTGTTACCGATAAAAGCAAAATGAATACTGAGGCAAAGTCAGCACAGCATCTATCAAAGCTCCCTCCAAAGCACATTTCATTAAAATACTTTACATGTAGACACAATCACCCCCCCTAGAATAACCACAGCATCTAGCTTATCATTACATCTTAATTTCTGTCTGGCTGCTGAATAAAGAGTCGGCCTCTTTATTCTGAACAAAACAAGACAAACGGGGAGTTTGGTTGTTCCTTTGTGCTCAAATCTGCTATTAACCCGGTGAGGTCATAAAGGCGTTCAGAAAAGACACTTCACAGCTATGCTTGGGATTATTAATATCCAGCATTGAATTAAAAGGGTGGTGGCGTCTGTGACAGTCCATCTGAGCTTCCAAACTCCCAGCGGCCCCCGTTTCAGTGGCATCTTCCGTCTCCTCCTTCGTCCCTCTTCTCCGTCCATGTGTCAATCTCTCTCTCCCGCTCCTCCTCCAGTGGATGGGTTTGTCTGTGCTCCCACATCCGCACCGCTCCGTCCCACTGTGGAAACACAGAGTAAAGTTAAAATTCTGAGAAAAAAGTCAGAATTCTGAGAAAAAAAGTCAGAATTCTCAGATTAAAGTCAGAATTCTATATGTTTGTAACTGTTGCTAAAATTTTTTATTTTTTCAAATTCCTGTAAAAAGCCCTTTATATTATTAAATTAAAAATAAAAACTTAAGACAGCTCTATGCGTAAACTGAAATAGGAATTTTCAAATAAACTTTAAAACCATGTTTAATCAATTTTAACATTCAATGACTGTATTAAAAGTCTATAAAAGTTATTTTTGCTTGTTTTTTTTTGCTCCAATTGAAAGAAGTCAATAAGATTTAATTAGTACCCGCAGGTCATCAGCAGAATGTCAAAATAAAAAATTATGGCTTTTGAGTTTCTGTTACATGTTTCTAAAATATCCCCTTAAAATTAAGCCTTTTTATTTTTATTTTGTTAGTTTAGACGACCTAGTTTGAGAAAAACTAGGTCGTCTAAACAGCAGCCTGAGCTTTCCTCAAAGTTTATTTAATACCTATAAAATAAAGACTGCCAATAGCTTTGACAATTAATAAGTGTGAAAGATGCCTGGTCATAATATATTTATTATTCTGTTATAAATCATTTTGTCTTTGGCCTCCTCATAAAGATATAATGACTTCCTTCGTGTTATTCTGGTTGTTGCTATTGTAATCATTATAGCAGTTGCTTGAGTTGGCACTGGCAAACCAGGCAGCTGACCAAGGAGGTTTTTTTTCCCCATAACTCACAGGCTGCTGCACAGCAAATAAAAAAAGGCATCAAAAATTGACTGTATTTACCATAATCTATGCAGACTGAGCAGAGGATGACAGGCAGTGGTGATAGAAGTGGGTATGCACTATATGCAGCGCCATGCTACAGAGGG